GTTGGTTATAAAAGAGCATTAATTAAATAAAACCCCTTCCCATTTCATGCTGTCAGCAATGGCACCACATGGAAAAAAAAATGTCACAAGTCCTGAAAAAGAAAATAATTTCTTTACACAAGAAAGGTGACGGCTACAAGAAGATCAGCAATGCTTTACTTATCAGTCAGAATACTGTAAAAAAACCAATACAAAAATTTAGCAAAGATGGAACTGCAACCATCTCACAGAGACGTGCAGGCCAACCACAGAAGGTAACACCTTGACAGGAGTGATGAGACCAAGAAAAATGTTTTTGGAACTGAGGGCTTCAAAACTGTATGGCATTGCAAAGGTGAGGAGTACAAAGAAAAATGCATGGTGCCTACAATGAAACATGGTGGTGGCAGTATTCTTCTGTGTGTGCTGCATGAGTGCTGCTGGTGTCGGGGGAGCTGCATTTCATTGATGGTATCATGAATTCACACATGTACTACTCTATATTGAAAGAGAAGATGCTACCATGACTCTGTGTCCTTGGCCGTCGTGCACTTTTCCAACATGACAATGATCCAAAACACACATCTAAGGCCACTGTTGCATTTCTGAAGAAGAACAGGGTGAAAGTGATTCAGTGGCCAAGTATGTCTCCTGATCTGAACCCAATCAAAAACATTTATGAGGAATTCTGAAGAGACACGTTGAGCATCACTCTCCATCCAGCATCCAGGCTCTAAAACAGGTCGTTCTTGAAAAATGGAAAAAGATAGATGTTTCAATATGTCGCCAACTTGTTCATTCCATGCCAAGAAGACTTGGTGCAGTCCTTACAAATCATGGAGGTCATACAAAATACTAGATGTAGTAGTTTTTGTTGTGGGGTGTATTCATTTTTGCATCAACTAATTTGAGTAAAACTGAAGATTTTGTAATCTAGGTTATATTATTAACCTTACTTTCATGTAATGAGCTAAATAAATGTTCTATAAAACTCAAAATTGTGGAAATTGTTCTTGTGTTCATTGATCTATCGATTAAAATCTTGCTTTTCAAAAAGGGGCGTACTCATTTATGCTGAGCAGTGTATATGGTGGCGGTTTTAAACGCCCAGGGATCTGTATTTCTGTCTATTTAGTCCTGAGCTTTACACAACTCTGTCACACAGCACAGCCAGGTGGACGACACCAATTACAAGAATACTGTAGCAATTTCTCTCTTCTGCCAGCCTGTAACTGGACAGTGAAAGGAAGAGCAGATTAAAGTGATATTAAAAGGTTCCTTTTTTCTTTTTTTTAATAAAAAGCATATCATACTTACCTGCTCTGTGCAATGGTTTTGCACAGAGGAGCCCTGATCCTCCTCTTCTCAGGTCCCTTACTGGCACACCAAGCCACTCCCTTCTACCCCCATAGCAAGAAGCTTACTATGGGGGCTCCCAAGCCGCTTCTCTGTGTCCATTCACACACAGAGCATGGTTCGGCCTTGCCCTGCTTTTTCCTTATTGGCTCACTGGCTGATATTGACAGTAGCAGGAGCCAATGATTACCACTGCTGTATCAGACAATGAGGAGGGAGAGACACGGGAGAACCAAGGGTCTTGTGCACATTGCTGGATCAAGCTGGGGCTCAGGTAGGTTTTAGGGAGTGCTGAGGGTGCTGCTGTACACAGTAGGATTTTTTTTACCTTCATGCATAGAATGCTGCGGCTATGGGAACATGTTACACCCTAAAAATGGGTGGAACAAGTAACATGTTCCAAAGGTGAACTTATCCTTTAATACTTTGCTAAAATAAAATCCCAATATCTCTCCATTTTAGAGTTGCATTTCAAATAATTAGCCCTCTTCCGTCCCATGTGGGAATATAAGTGACATGTCATTCTAAAATCTCTGTAGCAAAGACCTGAAATGAGATTATGTTACAAGGGAAACGGGTGAAATTGTGGGTGGGAGCTAAGCAAGCATTATGTGCTACCACATGTAAGAATTCTATTACAACCGTGCTCACAATTAAAGCAAATGGTTTCACTAAAAAAATGCAAATGGAAATGGGTTTAAATAAGTGGGTATTTTAGATGATTTTACTGCAAAAAATAAAAAAAAAAAAAAACTAAAAAAAAAAAAATCACTGAATGCTCACATTTCTATATGCAATTCATAGTCCTGATCTTTTGCTGACCTTTAAAAGGCTATAACCCCAGTCAGGTTTTTCTTGCTAGCTAAAGAGATTGTCCCTCATTTTTGGTTTTGGTGGCAACACGGTCACCTAGACAGGAAGTGAGGGAAAACTTCCAACATGAATGCAAATAGCAACTTAACGTTGAAGGGCATTCTAGCTTTCCTCTACTACAAGGATTCCAGTGGAGCAGTGGTTCTCAACCTCCTAATGCCGCGACCCTTTAATACAGTTCCTCATGTTGTGGTGACCCCCAACCATAAAATTATTTTCGTTGCTACTTCATAACTGTAATTTTGCTACTATTATGAATCGTAATGTAAATATTTGATATGCAGGATTTTTTTTTTGAAGTTGATGATTTTACAGTACACGATTTTACATTTACCCAGTAATTATAATTCATGAAGTGTCGTTTTACCTCCAATACTGCTGCTTTCAACACAGTAGCTGCTTTCTACACAGTAGCTGCTTTCAACACAGCAGCTGCTTTCTACACAGTAGCTGCTCTTTACACATGTGTGACTGGTCCACATAAGTACATTATGGTGCCAATCCTGTCACATACACCTGTATTTGTACGGGGTGTATGTGATGGGGTTGGCGTGATGATATCATCACGCCGGGTACTCGTATGTGGGCGTATCTGCATGTGGGCAGACTCGCCTAGAGATGGATAGAGGAGTGGTGTCTCGGTTCCTAAGACCATCGGAAATATGTGTTTTCCGATGGTCTTAGGTGACCCCTGTGCAAGGGTCGTTCGACCCCCAAAGGGGTCACGACCCACAGGTTGAGAACCACTGCAGTGGAGTGTCCCATGGAAGTTAAATGGTGGTGCAAAAAGTAGCTCACAGTTACCTGTACTATTTTGTCCCCAGGCTGTAAAAGTTTAGATGCTGGTCCTTCAGGCTGTACTCTTGTTACAAATATGCCCTGCAAAAAAAATTGAACCATTAATTAAAATGGCTAAGACAGTGAACTGATTAATTTTCAGACTTCAATGTTTCCTGTAACAGATTATAATTATTTAACTACCTTTTTGTAAATTTTTTTTAAATTAAAAAAAAAAAAAAATTTTTTTAAATGGGGCTACGGATTTACAAAATACTGGTGGCACCATCTGCATGACAAGAGAAATATCAGAACAAAATACTTACATCATCTCCTGGTCTGAAGGGATTTCCTCTCCCACCAACACCTCCTGATATACTAAAACCCAGCTCAGGATCCTTCACCAGTCGTACCCGTACCTAAAACGTGAATAAAATCATGTAACTGGAGGCATACCTTCTCGCAGTCTACCTAACCAATATAATACCAGGCCACATGGGATGGCCAGCTGGTGCCTCCTCTAGTGGCCTTTATATTAGCAAAGATCTATACGTAATGCCTGCAAACTTTGGCCAGTCCAGCTGATCCTGAATAACAGTATTTTAGAAGCAGCAATTTCTGGTTTTAAAACTAGAATAGAATTAGAAGTAGTATTGTTACCCATAACCATCAGTAATGCCATCTCTGCATTTTCTGACCTGCCCTGATGCCAGTAGCTGCAGTCCCTGTGAAGCAATTCATCTTTAAAGTTCACAGCAGAACTGAATTTGTTCTCTTAACAGCTCAACATCCCAGGGATTCAGCAGCCTCCCAGCCTTTTAACATCTAAAGTAAACTGATAAAAGGAAGGGGCCATCCCCAAACTGTTCCCACAAAGTTGGGAGCATGAAATTGTCTTGGTATGCTGATGCCTTAACAGTTCCCTTCACTGGAACTAAGGGGCCAAGCCCAACCCCTGAAAAACAACCTCACACCATAATCCCCCCTCCACCAAACTTTACACTTGGCACAATGCAGTCAGACAAGTACCGTTTTCCTGGCAACTGCCAAACCCAGACATGTCCATCAGATTGCCAGACAGAGAAGCGTGATTCATCACTCCAGAGAACACATCTCCACTGCTCTAGAGTCCAATGTCGGCGTGCTTTACACCACTGCATCCGACACTTTGCATTGAACTGGATGGACTTTTGTCTTTTTTCAGCCAGACTAACTATGTAACTATGCACTTGGGGATGTAGGACTTGGATGCAGCTGCTCAGCCATGGAAGCAATTCCATGAAGGTCTCTACACACTGTTGTTGTGCTAATCTGAAGGCCACATAAAGTTTGGAGGTCTTTAGTTATTGACTCTGCAGACAGTTCGGACTTCTGTGCACTTTGCGCTTCAGCATGCGCTGACCCTGCTCTGTCATGTTCCATGGCCTACCACTTTGTGGCTGAGTTGCTGTTGTTCCCAATTCCTTCCACTTTGTTATAATACCACTAACAGGTGACCGTGGAATATATAGTAGCCAGGAAATGTCACAGATGGACTTATTGCACAAGTGACAACCTATCACAGTACCACGCTAAAATTCACTGAGCTCCTGAGAGCGACCCATTCTTTCACCAATGTTTGTAGAAGCAGTCTGCATGCCTAGGTGTTTGATTTTATACACCTGTGGCCATGGGGTGATTGGAACACCTGAATCCAATGATTTGGAGGGATGTCCCAATACTTTTGGCAATATAGTGTGTGTATGTATATACACACACACACACACACACACACACACACACACAAAAAAGAAAGAAATGAGAGAGATACATTGATGCAGCAGCATGACTTTACACATATTTGCAAATTATTTGTTTTTTGTGCCGACTAGCTGGATTGAGAGCTGGGTAATTTTTGTACTGAGCAGGAAAAATGTACATTATAATTTTGCAATTTGTTTTCAGAAATAAACTATTTAGAGCTCAACAATATAAAGGGCTCACACTGAGAGAAAATAAAGAGGTTGTTGGCAGCTTCAATGGAGTGGAGATCTTCTTACCATTGATGGCTGGGCAGAGTGATGATGGAGCTGGCTAAAGTTGCTCTGAGTTCTTGATGGTGGGCACATTTGTCCATTGCTCATATGCATCTGCAAATCAAGTTTACAATTTCAAACACATCAAAGTAGTGACTAATAAACTGTCTCGTGGCTCTGCAATACAGCTCTATCATCTTAACAGCTCTGTATCCAACCCTGGTATGTTTTCCCTAAGGCTTGTCATTTTACATGCGGAGTACTATGCCCTGTGCCATGACACAAGGAGAAATAAAACTAAAGAAATAATGCATTTGAAGCAGCCTACAATGTTTTAGGCACACATTTGTGGTTACCTTTTTTGCACCATCAGTAGAATTCTCTTTGTGAAGCAAGGTGGCATAATTTTGCTGTCCGGGCCCAAACACATCATCCTGTGCAGGCTCTCCTGTGCTGCGGTGGTCGGGTGCTGTCAGTGAATAGAAAAAATATTACATACATAACACTGTATATGGGGTCCCTAACCAACAGCTCGTGAGCAACACATGGCCTTCACATCCCTGATGTTGCCTAACAATGTCTCTAAGTCTCCTCTGAAATACACAACACTGCCTGCTTTAGCTCCTCATTTGCTGCACTGCATCATCTTGCAGGGCACTTGCAGAGCAGCCTCATTCACTTCAATAGGTCATGCTTGGCAGGTGCTACACCCACCAACCATGACAGAGCGTACATCTCCTGCAAGCAGCTACCCCCCAAACTGACAATGCGAATTAACCCTTACTGTTCTGAGCCCCCTATAAGGCTACTTTCACACTAATGTGCTGTGGTTTACCTGCACCGCGGGTGCAGCACGGTGCATCTGTGACTTTCCTGGGTTAGCTGCGCTTTTCCATAGACTTCTATTATATCCTGCAGGTAGGGTGCACTTTCTGAAAGTACACCAAAACTCCAGAAGCTTTGGTGCGCTTTCAGAAAGTGCGTCAAACCAGCAGGATATAATAGAAGTCTATGGCTAAGCACAGCTAACCCGCAGAAAAGCTGCAGGTACACTGCACTGCACCCGCGGTGTAGATAAACTGCAGCGCATCAATGTGAAAGCAGCCCTATACTATTATGCCCAATGTATTGCATCACACTGACCTAAAGATCTCTTCTTCTTTCGTGCTGATGGCACCACTTTGGGAACCTCTAGCTGATATAAGAGGTGTAGTGCAGTTGGTATCACTCTGCATGGAACAGGAGCCAGCACTACAGAGGAGGCATCGGCCTATGCGGCTCGTGTTCCCTACTACAGCTCCAACTTTACAAGTAGTCCCTCTGCATTGTACTCGGTTTGATGCTTTGGGATGGCGATCAGCAAGCTCAGATCGCAATCTACTAGTCACCTGGCTGCGATCTACTGGTTGCTGACCCCCAAGCTAGGCTATGTGAAGCTGATTTTGTCCAGCACTACTCCATCCAATTCAGTTCAATTTAAAAACAGAAGGAGACGGGCTGAAAACTGCCAATCAGCTGCAGTCACTGTTCAGGTACTGACAGCCACGGGTGCCAGCCGTCAGAATAGAATTCGCCCATCTACGCTGCTTGGCATGCATTGGGGAATTGATCGAAAGTGTAAGACGAGCTATAGCTGAAAACTCCTCCAATCTTGATGCCACTTTAGGGAATTACGCTGCAAAGATTTCCTGTCTTAGCACTTTTTTCATTGGCATGTCAAAAACAAAAAAGTAACACCTGCGTAAATGAGCTTTCACTCACTATCATGGTTCATGTTTAAATGTCGCTCATGAGCTGAAGGTTGGTACCTTTTGTTGTCCTTAAAAATTAAACTCCATAGCAAAACCCTTTTTTAGTTTTGGATAGTGAAGCGTTGTTCCAATGGCACAACAGGAGGTGAAACAAACGCAATAAGTACTTTAAAGAGCTTGTAATCTGTACTCACTCTAACCAAAACTAAAAAATAAAAAAAAGTTTTGGTGAGAACAAAAAAAAAAAAAAAATTACATTTTATTTATGTTATTATGCTGAAATTGATTATAATCATTATTGATTAGATGTTAAACAGATTAGACAATCAGAATCAGAAATAAATATTAGGTAAACTGTATGGACTGATAAGCGATTCCTTAAAAAGCCTAACAATTAGGAATGCACATATTTCCATTACAAATAAACAGCAATTAAAATGTGTAGCTTACCCAAAACTTATATCAGTTTTGTAGACGCAAGTGGCATAAATCAGTTCCTGATATTTTTAAGGGACTAGTAAGATCTCTATGCTTCAGGATATGCTACAGGCCATCCTACAGCAGAAAGAATGAGACTACCAAGAGAGCAGGAACTAAGCCAGAAACTATGGTGGGGAGACCTTGGTTTGGAGTTCTGAAAGAAATCAGAGCCCAACTATAACTGAATGCCACTTGTTGCATGGATTGCCTCTATAAAGGTTCACTATAATGAGAGAAATGCTAAATTCCTGGCTGCTTTTTTGAACTTCAATACTTTGAATCACTGATCTACTGTAGATCAAGCATGCAGCAGGTGAATTCTGAACATCTGATCTGCATACATGTTAAAAGTCAATGGAAACACTGAATCCAATATGGAAATCAGGTAACTACATTTTTCAGTATGAGAGGTTATTAAATAGGATTTATCCTGCATAATTATGGAATACTGATGCTGCTGACAAGATGAGCCAGTTCACTGTCCATTGACAACAGCTCTGCTACTGTATGGTAACTAAAATTAGGAGGTTTACACAGGTGCAGCTGTTTTTTGCAATGACTACAAACTTGCACATTTCACGGGTTATCATCAAATATAAGAATTATAGAAAAAATGTTTAAATATGTTTATCTGTAGCATTCTGTAATGGCTTGATTTATAAAGTAACAGTTAGTCCCGGTTCACACTAGCGCAACTTCTGAGATGACTTGAGTCGCACAGAATTGAATGACAAGGAAAATCTCATTGTTTTCAATAGTTTCCATTCTGATCAATGGGACTCAGCATGAAGCGATTTTGGAAAAGGTTCCTGTGCTCCTTTGGTGCAATTTGCACTGCGGCCGGGCCCCATAGAATATACAAAGTCACACTGTAAATTGAAACAAAGTTGCATTGCAGTAGTATGAACTGAGCCCTAAGGTAATGACCAAGGTAGTGCAAAGTGCATTGTGTTAACATATGTTAATATGGTAGCAGTTTACTTCATAGGCAGTGTAAAGTGCAGTAACCCAAAACTACCAGATTCAAGTCATTATGGTCATAGGATTTAGAAAAAATAATCAATAAGCTTTTATAGGTCATATGCCTGCTTTACCCTATAACCCAATTACTGCACTTTGCACTAGCAGCAACCAGACTAAATAATGAAAGTAGTAGAGTGAAGCTCCCCGAAGACTTGAAAGGGCAGGAGGTCACATAGATATGATCCAACTCTGCTCTTCAGCCCCACCGACACATTGCACTGCACACAATAAAGGATAAATTCACCTTTGGGAACATGTTACATGTTCCACCCCGATTTACGGTGGAACATGTAAAGTTCCCATTGCTGCAGCCACTGCCCGCTGCCCTCTCTCCCTGTGACGGCAGTAGGGGAAGAAGTTCCCTGTACTAGCGGTCACTTTTTAAACACAGAGCAGCCGTGCGGTGCTCCACCAACATGGCCACTTTATTCATTCACAGAGTTCTGGGAATGAATGAACTGCAAGTATCGACACCCTTTGCGGATGTCTGCTTGTAGTTCTCAATGAACTATTACAGCACTGTTGAGCACTGTGGTAGTTCATTCAGTCTTCCTGTCCGTGTAAAACTGTCTGCCCGTATGAGGTTCAAGCAGACAGGATCGCTGGTGCAATGCTTTACAAAAAAATATTGAATGCACATTTTTTTTTACCTGCAAAAAAATGGGCATTTAGTATTTTTTGTTTTAAAAAGTGAACTTGTCCTTTAACACTCAGCTTAGCTGAGTGTTTGTGTTCACTGCTATTGGGGTTGGGGAGTGATGTTGGCTATAGCCACCATTTTGATTGTCTTATTGGGGGTTGGTATGACGGAGTCTAAAGGTTGCCATACACACCTTGAATTTCAGTGGATTTCAGGGAGGGGTGGGGGTGGGGAGGTCCAGTGGTGAATGGAGGGTTTGCCCTGTCAGCACCCCTGAGTTGATTTTTCAATTGACTTTTGTTAAAGAAGCCAAGTGGAAAGTTGTAGGCTGAACAGTGACTGCACCCAACAAGCTGTGGTCACTGTTTGGGTATTTTGACAGCCTTGGATGCCAGCTGTGAAAATACAATAGCCGGTTGGAAAGATTCCTTCATCCATGCTATTTATTGTGGATGGAGGAATCTCATGGAAATCTATATGTGTATGACTAGTCTTAATCTGACGCAGCCTAAAAGCTGGCCATACATGGATCGAAATTTGATACATGCTTAGGCAGGCTGGTTGTACACAAGTCGATCTGTCTGTTCTCTCCCAAATGACCAATACCACCAGCTATAGCCAGCAACACTGATCATTATATTCTGATAGTGGGTACGGCTTCCCCCTGTCAGAATACAATAGCATAGATGGAAAGATTCCTCCATCCACCTTGAATGTGTGGATGGGGATTAGCTCATTTTTTTTTTCTGTTCAACCAGCTGGTTGATCAAAAAAAAAAAAAAGAATCTTGTATAGCCAGCTTAAGTCCAAATGGAGCAGACAGCAGAGGTAAACACAAAAAGCACAAGAGATGACAACTCACTGCATGCACAAGCAGAGGATTTTAGTTCCATTTTAGTATTAGAAGCAAGTAGGTTATGCTTAATCAATGCAACTTTTACTTTACCAATGAGCAGATAAATAGTGAAATATCCTGTATCATTCTATCCAAGACCTCTCATGGAAGAATTCAAGCTTCCGAAATGTACTCTTCCACTAGATGCAGCTTCAGATGATGTGCCTGTGACCATTATTTGCTTAGAAGCTCAATGGCAGGACTGGAAAATTCTAGGAGCCACCATGTCTAAAAATCCTATAACCCAGTCTTCTACTGTAGCCTTTATTTGTTGTGTGAGATTAACCATCAAGTTTTATGGTTTTCAGCCACAGTATTTGCATTATCTATATTACTCTCTGTTTTTTGCATCAATTACTTTAGACCAGGCTTCCTCGTGCAGTGAGCAGATTGATGTGCCACCAAGACCACCAACGCAAGGTGGAGAATATTCCATTAAATAAAAATGTTTGGGCTCATTTCTACTCTGTTACAGGACACCATATTTTGTACTGTCTAAGTATAATACTATTTAGCAGGGGTTCCCCAAGACTTATAAATTATTTTAAGGGGTTCTCCAAGATGAAGAGGTTGAGACAAGCTACTTTGGTCAATGCCAAAATGAGGGTACTTTATAGATCTTTGGTAACTAAAGTAACAACAAGTGATGTCTAACTGTTCATGTATTGTCAGTAAAAAAAAGTT